TTCGCCATTTTCAAGCGCGGAAAAGCCCAGATATGGGTTCTTGCGAGCAGGTCCCGAAAATCTGACTGGAAAACGAACTTTTGCCGAGTCGCTGCCTCGAAGATGGCAAACACTTCGGATTATTCTCAATTCCGGTTTGTGCCAAAAACAAATCAAACGCCTAAAATCTTCCCATTTTTACTTTGTCCATCTGGCCCGTTTCATAAGTTCTGCTAGTCTTGGAGGCGCGATTTTTGCGTTCTATCGTGTCAGTCGTGTGCTTAAATTTCTTGATATACTCAGTCTCTTTTAGTCGTTTCACACTCAACTCCAAAAAAAGTTTTTTTGTTACCTATCTATCGGTAATCTTCTATGAGTTATTTTTCAGGCAGTTATGCAATGAAAATCCCAGCGCGTTGGTCAATCAGTTTCCAGGTGAAGGTTGCATAACAGTCAAAGATCTGCTATCAGCAATCCTTATGGAGCAGAATGAAGGAAATAAGCAGGCCTGGTTCCAGGTTAGTGTGGTTGCTGTTAGAGCATTTTCTCAAATACTGGCTTGAACCGATAGTTGTTCGCACCATTTTCAAAAAAATCGTAACTTCTTTTTCTTGCGATAATCTTGCACGAAAAAAAGTTAATATAAAAAGAGTAAAGCGTATACTTCCTAAAAGCACCTCGCTTGCTCTTTGTTATGTTTTGTTGCAGAGATGAAATTGGGGAATAGGAATCACTCAATTCTGAATTTTGAGGCAAGCAAATTAAAAATTCCAAAACTTTGCCATAAAGTTCAAAACAGGCAGTGATCTAGGTTTTTTGAACGTTTTATTCAGTTGAGCAAAATTCGCGCTGATCGAGCTTTTGTTTGATAAGTATGATTTTCGAGAAAAAATGCAAAAAATCATTCCTAGAAAAAATGATCGAAAATGATCTCGAGCTTGTGTAGCAAAAAGAATAAAGTGCGAGTTAAGATTGTATCGTATTTTGTTACGATAGCCGAGACCATTTTCGCAGTGACTTATTCGAATAAGAAAATTCAGCTATCACGAAATTCTTTCAGGAATGTTATAATCTCAACACCGAGCTGCCTCAGTTTGTTTCCTGTTATCTGGAGAGGAAAGCGAGGTAATCAAAAAAGTAACCCTCTGTGGAAATATTCTAGAACTCTTCAGCGGTAAAGAAAACACATGGATTATTAAGCCATGGAATCTTGCTCGTGGCTTGGATATGCATGTTACTAATGATTTACGTCAAATTATACGATTGACAGAAAGCGGTCCCAAGGCAAGTTCCATAGATTTTATGGAATAGTTCAAATATCAATGTTATTCAGATCGCCTGCAAGTATATTGAGCATCCGGTTTTGTTCCATCGCCCAGACAATAACAACTTGGTAAAATTTGATCTACGCTACATTATATTTGTCACTCAAGTACGACCTCTACGCGCCTACGTTTACAGGAAGTTCTGGACGCGTTTTGCTATCAAGTAAGGACTTTAGAATTCACAAAAGTAGCTCTCAATCTGAATGGCTGATCTTTTTGTTTTAGTCCATTTTCACTTGATCGACTAGATGATGTTGAAACGCATCTGACTGTTTTCAACTACGTTGATGGCGAAAAAGTTTTACAGGTGGGTGGATGCAATCCAAATTCGGATTTTTCTGTCATAATCACTGTCGTCAATCATCTATGACTTCTGAGCGCGTAAACTAGACCCTTGCTAGT